TAATCAATAGCTGCACTTTTTGCAAACTGTGGCTATGACAGTCCTGAACAAGAAGGGTTTCCTGTTTAAGCTGCAGTAACTTTTCTGACTATGGATCATCGTTCCTTCTGTGGCAGATTTTTACAGTTCCTCTGATGCATTTGGGATGACTGTCTCAAAGTAACCTGCAGCTTTCCTGACAACTCCTCGCTCTCTCTCCTGCTAAGAACTGTAGTCCTTTTCTGTTGTTTTTAGAACCTTCTGCTACTATATCCACCACTTCCACCACCAGATCCATAACCACCACCATATGGACTGCCCGAGCTTCTTCGACCAAAACTGCCCCCTTTCATGGGTCCATAATTTGATTGCTGTTGTCCACTATAATTTCCAAAATCATTATAGTTCCCACCACCACCATAGTTACCTCCAAAATTTCCTCCTTCATTGTAACCATCATATCCTCCTCCACCACCATATCCGCCACCTTGGTTTCCATATCCTGGTCCACCACCACCATAGCCCCCTCTACTACTGTAACCAGGACCACCGCCATAGTTCCCACCATCACCTCCAAATCCATTGTATCCACCATCACCTCCTCCATAACTACCTCTGCTGCCACCACCTCCACCACCATATCCTCCTCTTCACCAAAGTTTCCACCACGGCCAAAATTACCTCCACCACCTCCAAAGTTTCCTCTCCGACCCATAAAGTTGCCAGATCCACCTCCACGACCTCTTTGTGATCCAGCAGACGGTATCTCTTGTTTAGAAAGGGCCTTTTTCACTTCACAATTATGCCCATTAATAGTGTGGTATTTCTGAACAACAATTTTATCAACAGTGTCATGATCATCAAAAGTTACAAAAGCAAATCCTCTCTTTTTTCCACTCTGCCTGTCTTCCATAACTTCTATGGTTTCAATCTTGCCATACTTTTCAAAGTAGTCTCTCAAATGATATTCTTCTGTATCTTCTTTAATACCACCAACAAAAATTTTCTTCACTGTGAGATGGGCACCAGGCTTTACAGAATCCTCTCTAGATACAGCTTTCTTTGGTTCCACCACATGCCCATCAACCTTGTGTGGTTGAGCACACATTGCTGCATCCACCTCTTCCACCCAAGACTAAGTCACAAAACCAAAGCCCCTGGAACGTTTTGTTTGGGGATCTCTCATTACCACACAATCTGTGAGTGTGCCCCATTTCTCAAAATGTTCTCTTAAACTATCATCTGTAGTTTCAAAGCTCAGACCACCAATAAACAGTTTTCTCAACTGCTCTGGTTCCTTTGGATCATGGCCCTCCTCCCCCCGGGGGCGGCGGCGGCGACGGCCCGAGTTGGGCTGGGGGCGACCGGGCGGCGGTTTTACCTCCATTTTGAGACCGGACTCGCCTCTTCCAACTCGAGTTCAATATGGGACCGAGAGGAAGAGGCCGGAAAACTGGTTTTCTATTGAACTAATTTATGCTTTGTATTTCTATTTCTAGCTTGAACAATTTAGGACCCTGCTTTTTACTTCCGAGGGAGAGAAAGAGAAAAGAATGGTGGACAACTTCCGTCCCCTTCAACCCCTGATGAATCGCACTGTCCGCTCATCCTTCCGGCACGATTATGTGCTGAATATACATGTGAAAACCCCAAGCCTGCAACCAGCCAAGTGACCCCCTAAAACATTTGTATCTAGGTGGTATTTTGCTTTAATACATGCTAACTTTCAAAAAATTGTTAACTAGACTATTCTAAATGCGTGTGTTTAGTAATGTTTCTAGATGTGCATTTCTTGGTCTGGAAGTGCTTCATCAGTCTTTGAGGAGAACTATTTGGTAAACAAATTCTTTTGGTTGATAATAATATTTATCACTGAAGTAATAGCAAGAGACACAAGTATTGCTTGCAGCAACCTCTTGGTATTGTAATGTCTTTTCATGTCTGACTTTATTTTTTTTAAGACTCTATTGCCCAGGCCAGAGTGCCATGATGTCATCCTAGCTCTCAGCAACCTCAACCCCCTGGGCTCAAGCACTTCTCCTGTTTCAGCCTCCCAAGTAGCTGAGACTACAGGCACCTGCCACCACGCCCAGCTTGTTTTTTTCTATTTTTAGTAGAGACAAGGTCTCGCTCTTGCTCAGGCTGGTCTCAAACTCCTGAGCTCAATGGATCCTCCCATCTTGGCCTCCCAGAATGCTAGAATTACAGGTGTGAGCCACCACACCCTGCCCCTGTCTGACATTTTTGAGCTATCTTTCTGTTTATATCAGTTAGCAGTTCTGTAGAGTTATAAGCAGGGATTATAAACAAAATGTTTAACAACTGGTAAGGCACAAAGAGTGACCAGCCATAGCTCAGGCCTTTTATAAACTGCCACAGAGCCCAGACTCGTATTTCCTGGCTTAACATAGGCATATTTTGAAATACAGTAGTTATCTTTTATTTCAAAACATGACTGTGTATTCTTTTATAAGGGCTTCTCAGCGAGTATGTTTGCCCTATCTTTAGTTGTCATTGTTAGTATATGATATGCTTGGCTCGGCACCTGTATCACAGTGGTTACGGCACCAGCCACCTACACCAAAGTTGGCAGGTTCAAAACCAGCCTGGCCCAGCTAAAACAACAATGACAAATGCAACAAAAAATAGCAAGGTGTTGTGGTGGGCTCCTGTAGTCCCAGCTACTTGGGAAGCTGAGGCAAGCGAATCACTTAAGCCTAAGAGTTTGAGGTTGCTGTGAGCTGTGATGCCGTGGCACTCTACTGAAGGTGACATAGTAAGACTCTGTCTCAAAAAAAATGAAAAGATATGCTTGCTTACTATCAGTTTATGATGTAGAAAAATATATTTTGTAATCATAAGAAAACAAAGATTTTTACATCTGGAAATCTTTTTGCATTTCTGAAGATCAGCTATTTTACTTAATGGCTTGATTATCTAGAAAGCATATGCAGAACATTTTAAGGAAAATGTTTAAAGTGCCTAGAACTTGGAATTCATTCTTTCTTTCAGAAATACTTTGCAGAGGACTAGTAATCTAATAGTATATAGTATTATTTTGCATTATTTGTATAATATTATAAACAAAATAATAACATTTTCTATACTGACAGAGGTATTTTGGCTTCCCTTTATAACTGTCTAAAGTTTATTTTGTTTACTCATTACTCAAGGTTCTTTGCAAAATAGGTGATCAACTTAAATCTCCCAATTTAGAAGACATTTGCTATGGTAATAGGGAGAGAAACTTCTTAGATAGGCTAAAATGTAAACTCTCATCCTGAGGAATCCATGCCATTGTGCTCTTGTTTCTAAACATTTTAGAGTGCATCCAAATGCTTCTAATCCTATGTTCAGACAATTTCAATGTTGCATCAGTACCTGCAACATTGGTATTATTTCTTTCATTAATATACTAGTTATCTGGTCTTCAAGATAGGATTGAATTAATATATGCATTTAACACTACTGAATGTGTACTTAAAGATTTTTAAGATAGAAATGGAACTACACACCAACCTAAAAAACTTCTGTGTATCAAAGGAAGCAATTAACAAAGTGAAAAGGCAACATACAGAATGGGAGAAAATACTTATACATTGCATATCTGATAAGGGGATCATAGCCTGAATATATAAGGACCTTCTATAACTCAACCACAACAGAAAAACAAATAACCTGATTAAAAAATGATTAAGGAAGGATTTTCATAGACAATTCTTGAAAGGAGATATACAAATGACCAATAAGAACACGAAAAGATGGCTCAGCGCCCGTAGCATAGTGGTTATGGCGCCAGTCACGTACAAGGAGGCTGGCGGGTTTGAACATGGCCTGGGCCAGCTAAAGAATAATGATGACAACCTCAACCAAAAATAGCTGGGCACTGTGGCAGGTGCCTATAGTCCCAGCTACTTGGGAGGCTGAGGCAAGAGAATTGCTTAAGCCCAAGAGTTTGAGGTTGCTGTGAGCTGTGATGCCAAGGCACTCTACCCAGGCTGACATAGTGAGACTCTGTTTCTAAACAAACAAACCAACAAGCAAAAAGCCCATAATGAGATATCACCTCACATCCATCAGGATGGCCACTATCAGAAGACCAGACAATAACAAGTGTTGGGAAGGGTACAGAGGAGTTGGAACCCTTGTGCACTATTAGTAGGAATGTAAAATAACTGAGTCCTTATGGAAAAGAGTACAGAGGATCCTTGAAGAACTGAAAACAATTACCCTATGATCCAGCAATCCAGCTTCTGGGTATATATCCAAAAGAATTCAAAGCAGGATCTTGAAGAGATATTTGCACATCTGTGTTCATTGCAACATTATTTGCAAAATCCAGGAGGCAGAAGAAATCCAGATGTCCATCAACAGATGAATAGGTAAAGAAAATGAGGTATATACATATAACACAATATTGTGCAGCCTTCAAAAGAAGGAAATCCTGTCTAATGGACCACATAGGTGAACCTTGACATTATGCCAAGCAAAATAAGCCAGTGACAAAAGAACAAATATTTTACAGTTCTTCTCATGTGAAGTGTCTAAAGTAGTAAAATCCATAGAACAGAAAATAGAAAGGTTGTTGCCAATGGCTGGGGGGAGTTGGAGGGGAATTGGAGTTTAATGGATACAGAGTTTCAGTGTTGTAAAATGAGAAGTCTAGAGATCTGTTACACAACAATGCAAATATACTTAACACTTCTGAACTATCCACTTAAAATGGCTGAGATGGTAAATTTTACATGCATATTTTACCACAATTAAGAGTAAAAAAATAAAAATTCAGTAGGAAAAGAATGGAGGCTGGGCGCGGGGCTTACGCTTATAATCCTAGTACTCTGGGAGGCCGAGGCCGGTGGATTGCTGAGCTCACAGGTTCAAGACCAGCCTGAGCAAGAGCAAGACTAAAAACAGCCTGACATTGTGGCGGGTGCCTGTAGTCCCAGCTACCTGGGAGGCTGAGGCAAAAGAATCACTTGAGCCCAGGAGTTTGAAGTTGCTGTGAGCTGTGATGCTGAGGGTGACAAGAGAGACTCTGTCTCAAAAAGAAAAAAAAATGGCGTTTTATGTGTAAGTTTAGAGGAATATTTATTCTCTAAATATGGTGGTTGTGGAGGGGTGAAGACTTTTGAATGTGTGCCCTAGGAAAGGCATAAAATTCTTAGAAAGAGAAACATGGTAAAAAAAAAAAAAAAAGGGAAAGTCTATGTAAACTTTCTACAATTCACGTGTTTCAAACTATATTTACCTTTAAAAGCATGAACACATGAGATATTTATTTTCCAGGGGACACAGGCTTTCCTTCTAGCCCTCTTGCAAACTCTTGGGGCAAAACTGTTGCAGTGAGTCTTCCAAATGGGAAGGAATAATAATATGCAGAATGCCGGGCATGCCCTTATATCTTAGAGATAACAAAGGATGCATTTACAGGACAGGTACGTGTCCTTGGTTTCCCACTCCTGTGTGTCCTTGGTTTACCATTCCTGATTTACTTATACCTGGTGTTCTAGTGTAATTATTAACAGCACTCTCTTTCACTTCCAACCATATCCTGGTCTGCAGGATAAATTCTTGGTCACTTTCCCTGTAAAGGATATGGAAACTGCCTGAAGGGAGTTTCTTCCTCCATGCCTTAGTTATATAGTTATATGACCCTAAAAGGGGCACTGTAGATTCTCTGGCTACTGATACACCTAAACAAGAATTTTTTTTGTTCTTGGCTTTTATGCTCTCAAAAGTTTTTTACTTGTACTTTCCTAGACATGAAGGTGGAAAATGGGCCTAAGGTCTGTCAAAGGTCTTGGGAAAGAAGTTTTTAATGAAACCAATGGTCATCTTCATTCAATATTATTTGACCAAACTCTTTATTTGCAGTATTAATGGATGGGGAAAGACTTTCCCTCCTATTGTTTTGGTATATAAGATGTCTGTAAAATTAGTGAGCCATCCTTTAACGTACAGATCAGAAAGCATCTAGAAAATTCCTAAGGGATTTACTAGAGAAGCAGTAGTGGGAAGAAGCAGCCAATCTTCTTCAGCTCACCTCTTTCAGTCCACGGTCCAGTGCACAGTCTGCTGGCATCACCACACAAGGGGAACTACAAGCCCCTTTCCCAGGGCTACGTGGTACAAAGTCAGTACACTGTGCACTGGTTACTAACTTGTCTCGGTCCAGTGAGACAGAATGCACGCATACCTAATAAGTTACGTGAAGCAGGTTTATTACTTAAACACAGACAGCAAGAGACAAAAGAAGCCAAGGATCCATTGTGAACTGGAAACCGAAGGCTCAAGAAGGCTTCCTTGGGTGGTGTGAATGGAGTCTCTACTACATGTGCCCCACTTGCGCTGTGGCTGAGGGACCCCAAAAGGTAACGCACCCTGAGTTATATACTTCAGGGACTACCTATAACTTACTGGGTAAAGCTTCGAAGAACACCCTGCTTCCAGGGGAGACAGGAACAAAGCCTGGGCCATCCCAGGCAGTTCCTCTCTGAGTCAAGATGTTACCTTACCTAGGAATAACAGAAATAAGGCCTGGGCTCTTCCAGGCAGTTTCTCCCTATCTCAGGATATTGCATTCCCAGTACAATCTGCAGTTACCCTCAAGAATGACAAGCAAGAAAGGGGGAGAGAACTAGGTTGGTCCAAGGCCACCGGAGAACTTGTCTTGCACATGGGTTAGGGGAAAGCTGGCTGTTTAAAACCAGGTATCCACCCAAAAAACATCTAGGAAGAAGTCTTTCCCTATGAAATTCAAATGATGGTAATTATAGTTTGGAAGTAGAATTGGCTTTTAGAGTT